TATTTCTTAATCGAGAGTAAAAGCAATGACACCTTACATTACTCATGTATAGTTATATGTATGTTAAGTGTAAGTAAGTTTAAGTTTGTAAGGTATCATCTGCTAAAAATGAGTCGATGAATATGATTATATCAAGAGGGCACGCGCAGTCCACTTCTTCGCTTATTTTTTTACCTGCGTGCTGAAGTTGTTCTTACTCCACGTGTCAATCAACGTACAATCCACTCACGTGGCCACAGGTGCACTTCACGTCTCGTCTGTGTCGTTCGCGAGCCTCTCCACGTGCCCCTCACGTACCCCATGTATGCCCCTTACGTGCCCCCCACGTGCCCCCCACGTGCCCCACGCGTGCTCCACACGTGGCTGCGACGCGCCGTTTAAGTTGTTATCCCCTCCCGAATTTGAATTTGTAATTCCGTTCCCGCCGCGCGCGCCGAGCGTGGGGCGTCCCGGGGCGTATTGGAAAGTCCTGAGCCGCCCTCCTGCGGGGTCCCTCCTGCGGGGTTCCTCCTGCGGGGTTCCTCCTTGCCTCTCCTCTCCCTCTCGTGGCGTCACGGCCGATCCTCTTCAACGCTGGCAGCAGCGCCGTGCGCCAGCTCCGCCCGGCGAGCCGCGCCATGCAGCGCCGCGCCCCCTATCCTGCAGGGTCCCTGCCTTGCCCCTGGAGCCATACCAACCATAAGCGGATTCGTCGGTCCCTGTGGTTCTTCCGTGTCTGGCTCCCTATATCCCCTATATCCCCCTTCTCTTTCTCCGCTGCCCTTCGCTGTGTATTCGTCTCCCCTTTCCCTCAATAATTGTCGTTCCAAGGACACTCTCCGTTTCCCGCGCTGTTTCACCGAGTCAAAGGCTCCCCTCTCTCCATCCCTTTCCCCCGTGCTATAGACTGCTTGTGATCCAAATGCCATTACGTTTTGCAGCCTTTTCTTTTTTTTTTGCAAGGCTTTTGTCATGCCGTATCGATCTGAAGCAGAACACGTTTCCGCTCCAAAACATCGAGCAACACAGCCCAAGCAACTTATTCTATTCCACAATTCAACTTGATGGGAAATGAGGACCTTAACCGTGCTTAAGCAAACGGTTTGGTACTTTGCTCTAGCAAACGGTTTGTTGCTTTAGCATACGGTTTGCTGAGATTCAACAAATTTAGCATGTTTTCATCAACTGACCCCCTTAAGGAGCGAATTGTTCCTTCCCATTTAGGGTGTGCACACTATGCAAGTCACCTTATAGCTACGGTAGACTTTGACAATTTGACTGCTAGCTGTTGGAATACACAATTTCCTTGTACATAACTACACACTCTCCTGAGGACTGCTGCCATCTATCGGATTCTATTGAAACTATTGTGTGGACGTGTGTTTACTTGTGCTATTCTGATAATACATTCTAACATACTGAAGTTGAACCCTTGGTTAAGTATTCCTCAAACACTTGCAACGAACAGTCAACTTGAGAAGAACAAACTTGCAGGGGTTATTGCATGGCCGCTCTGCATGACTTTACCTCATACCTACTAACTGTACATTTGGTTCATTTTGGTGCAATCTTTTTGACATGTTTACTAGTGTTTAGGAACAAGCCTACATTCTACCACAATGCATGCGATGAGGTGATCAGGTTTGTGCACCATGAGTCTGAACCTATATTGTCCATAGGGCATGATTGGAACATTTGGAAAAATCCATTCAATTGGGGCGTTATTGACCTGATAAACTCCCTGTAAACAGAAGTGATCACAGTTTTTACATTTATTATTCTGCTACTGTGTTTGAAGTCGAAGCAATATTCAGTCTGCAACATACTGTGGTACTAAGAAAAATATGAACCCCCAACACAATACCGAGAGCAGATTTGCAGTGTGTACTTACGGGTTTCACACAAGCGCCATTAACTTCCTTCTTGAAAAAAAGGTTGTAAAAGCCCGGCATATTTTCTTTTATTGTGCGGCATACATTCGATTTATAAGCGAAGATAAATGCGTTTTCTTTCCATTGATTATTTGACCGAGTATCCAGAATCACTTTGAGCTGTGAACAATAAAGATTGGTTTAGAGGAATGATATTATGTAACTGTTTCTCAGTCCCTTTTATCAGCGCCTGACGTCTGAAACTTTGGGGTCATCCGGTCTTATCGGTGCAGGTCTGTTCTTACCGGTTATCCGAAGATGTATTTTCTCATTAAGTAGGCATATCTCTTACCCCGCAGCAGCTGTCGTCAATAGGTTCCTCTACCGTCAAGTTACCGGTCAGGAGTTGCACTTCTCTTGGCTTGAGTGGATTGAAATGAGTGGTCCGCAAATGCCATTGGTCGGGAAGGTTGTCTCTTTCACAATTGTAAAATCGCTCTGTGTAAGCTGTGTAAGGGCCCTATTTGTGAAACACAACGCTGTTAAGGAGAACGTTACGCGAAGAGGGCACTTTGTGTTGATAACGTCGTCCAAATTTTAAACTCACGTTTTCGTGAAAGGTACCAGTTACTTACATAGACTGTGTTGAGAGCTTTTCCGTGGATGCTCTTCTGGCAGAGCAGTGCTGTCACGAGTATGAATGCCCCTGACCTGGACCTGGAGCCACTGCAAATACTAGAGTCAGGCATCTTGCGTTAAGCGTAGTGAGATTAAAACACAGTGAATGTAATAATCTCGCTCTATTTGAGTCATCCTGTAGGTTCCTCTTCCCTCTCGTAAAGTGAGGTTCCTTTGAGGCTCATCTCTACAATTGGACAAGGCCAGGAAAGATTGGGCGAGTAAACAACAACTGTAACAGGTCTGATTTCGAGCATGGAACCTCGCTCAGGAGGGTTTTTTGGAAAGCTAGAGCAGCACGCACGGTAAAAACGAAGTCCCATTTTTTGAGGGAAAAGGGAAAACTTTGAGGGATCTTTCTTGAAAAATAAGAACGACTCTCAAAGTAAGTCACAAATTTTGAGGAAGTCCCTCAAAGTTAGCGTGGCTGCTACTGCGCCCACCTCGCTACTTTAGAGCTTTGTAACAACTGATCAAATTGTCAGTTGGTCAAATTAAATGTGTTTCTCTTAGTTTTAGAGCTGCGGAACTCGTCCTGCAAAGTTTGATGTGTGTACGATGAGAAAAAACGAAACTGATTTTTTGAATGATTTACGTGTGCAAGTACGTCTGAAAGCACGTAAACCATTCAAAAAACTGTTTCGTTTCTTCTCATCGTACACACATCAAACTTTGCAGGACGAGTTCCGCAGCTCTAAAACTAAGAGAAACACATTTAATTTGACCAAATGACAATTTGATCAGTTGTTACAAAGCTCTAAAGTAGCGAGGTGGGCGCAGTAGCAGCCACGCTAACTTTGAGGGACTTCCTCAAAATTTGTGACTTACTTTGAGAGTCGTTCTTATTTTTCAAGAAAGATCCCTCAAAGTTACTGACTCCCTCAAAGTTTTCCCTTTTCCCTCAAAAAATGGGACTTCGTTTTTACCGTGCGGTACGACGTCCTGGTTTCCAACAAGCAGTTTTAAACAACCCCGGCGCTCCCATGCATTTCTTTAATGAAAGTTAATTAAACGTCTTGGTTTTTCCAAAACTGCTTAAAAACAGGACGTTCGTTTTCACTGTGAGTTATGAAACTGGCAACAATACAGAAAAGAAACCTACGATAGGCGAGATGTTATTGCCCACTGCCCCATGTCCTCTTCCTCTCTGAAACCTATAACCCATGTGCTGCGGGCACGAGTAAACGGTACCCAGATGGGCCGTGGCTGAGCTCCGTTCACTAGGTGCTCTTACTGACCGTCCATCGTTTCGTATTAGCCTGTTCACACTTCGGATGCACTATGTGGACACGGTTGGCGTGGTTGGCGTGCCAAAGCGAAGGACAAACATGGTGCCGATATTGCCGAAGCACTAGGCCCACACGCGAGTACGGGCGGAAGTGCAGGAGGTGCGCACTACAAATCCAACAGTGTACTCAGGGGCGGATCTGGCTCGCAGTTCAAGGG